TGAAATTACATTAACAGTAAATCCTCGATGAGTGTTCGAAGGCTCCTCGGTATTGATAAGGAGAGGTTCCCAAGTGTAACGCTGAGTTTTTAATGAGGGTTAGCACAGCCATAGGAAATTCTGAAGCTAATGATATTGGTTTCAGCCGCATATGGCCATTAGTTTATCAAATACCTATTTAATGTTCAGTGCCGAGGAGCCTTTGAACAGCTATCGAGGATTTACTGTAGATGATTATTTGGATAACATTTTATTCGTATTACTGATTGTTCACGTTATCCCTAGTACACCCATTGCTCGATTTACACAGTAAGATAGGTTCCACGGAAAAGCGCATGAATCGAAACCGTGTAAAACGAGACACAGCATTCATATAAAAAAGGAAGATAGATTCAATTGAATTTTAGAATGTGTAAATCGAATCAAAGCGTATAAAGAAAACCCATGGATATATTCATGATAATCATGTAAATTGAGGTTTGGATTTTATGAAAAACAAAACGGAGATTGGTTTTACTGAATGCTGAGCCTCGAAGTCGAAGTTCTAGGATTCGCTTTTGTTATTTTTGTACATTCAAGGGTAAATTAATCGAAACAAAGCATCGAGAATATTCCATGTTTTTAATTTATAAACCGTGTAAAAGTGAAATCGTGTAAATCAAGGCATGGATGTATAATCGTTATTTACAGTATTTCTTATTCACGATACTTGTTTATTATTTCATTGTGCGTCAAATAGCTTGACTTGTATACCAGCAATGTAAGCAAGACAAAGTGAGCTCATAGCAGTAAAATAATCAAAATATAACGACGCCTTTTTTGATTTTGATACTTCTTCATCACCGAACATCAGTGGAATTATAGACCTAACTCCATCTCAAAATGAAATAGATATCTTAAAGTGTTTCAGCGACGATCTTTCTGACATAACAATGTTACAGGCATACACTGCAATAAAACAGGCCCTTTTGTGGTATAATACACCGTTTCCGTCATCTACACCTCTAAAAAGATTATTTTTTGCGTACACCACTATGGCTAATCGTCCAGAAAGTAATAAATTGTCGACAAAATGATTGAAAAAAGAGTTGTACTATAAAAGTACTATTTCGGAGAATTCTGTAAACATTAGTACGCGAATAAAGATTTACTCGAACGATAATGTATTTCTGAATTGAAAATGATTCGCACTTTATCTATAATAACGCTGGTATTATTAATATTAATTATTCAATTAAAGTTTAATACAAACGCAATATATATTCGCGATGTCAAATTAATACGTTACCGAATAATTTTTTTGTACGATGCTTCGTTTTCGAGAAAATCGAATTTGAAAATCAGTTGAATACGTGTACAATTGAATTAGGACTTGGCTAACGCGTTTATTCATTGCATTCTGTATGTACTTATTGTCACTATAAATACAAACACGTTAGATGAATTCTGAAAATTCATTATCCTGGAAACGAAGCATCGTACGAAAAACATAGTATTCTACATTTTCGACTTATTTTTGCATGTAGGATCATATCCTGTCGGAAACACTCTGTATACTCGTTCTGAACGTTCGAAACCAGCTTGTATAATAATCAGAGTATTTTGAAAATACCGAAAATGAAACATCACCTCTTATGGGTATCAATCGAATCCCATGAAGTGAAACTTTTGAACTTGATCCCATAACTACCTACCGTTATGTAAATATGTATATATGAAAACCAGGATTATTTATAAAATTCTAATATATGGGTTATTTATAAATATTTATTAAATTCAAATCGAAATCTTCGCCGTGAGTCTGGCTCGATATTATAAGGTAAAGAGGGCGAAATCGAAGCTTTCGCCGCGAAAACGGTAAAATGATGGTTAATCACCAGGGTTAAATTTGTACACCGTAATAAGCCACGATATTATTACGTTGACTTTCGAAACATATTACGCCCCTCTCGTGTGCCCGCGACTTTCTTCGACAATTCACCCCTTCTTGCGATCGATGGAATTCGAGAACCGTGAAAACACTCGAGACAGTAGTAGAGTTGGACCTAATTAATATTAATCTTTACTTTAATAGTTATATACATTAAACATTACTTTTTACTTGTAAATCCAAATGGAAAGAAGAAATTAGTACTTATCTATAGACATATGATTTTGTGCATTTATGGTCAACTCAATCAGTTTAATTAATATGTTCATCTTTTTTATGGTTTTCTGCCAAGGTCGCTGATAGAAGACTAACATTATAGCTTCTAAAAAGTAGAAGCGTTTGAAATTGTATGAACATCCCTGGTCGATTTAATTTGCTATCCGAACCACTCTAAATACATTATTTAAAATGAGAAAGGTATTTGTTACTTGCAATGTCCTTTATGGGTCATCAGACGAACATTCTGTATTTATTCTCTGTCTTGTACTGGTTGCAGAAAAGAGTTTAAAAAGTAAAGGATGTTTATGTGACAACGATCGTTGAAATTACAACTAAGGGAAAACCAAGAACTATTTGTTTTCGTACTTCATTCTGAATAACAAGAAAACCTTCTATTTGCAAATAAGAAATTGTAAATAATTATTGAAATTAACTTTGTTCAAATCAAAACTTGGTTCTTACTAACTCACAATTAAAATCTTATTTTTATTTCTCATTTATTGCAAATTATTTAACAGTTGTACATGAATTATGTTACAGTTTACTAAAGGATATACGAGCATTCCGATATTAGATGCTCGATGAAAAACTTAAAGCACCGATTGTACGTGTAATGATATATAGCGTGTTTTGCATACTTCTGAATACAGCTCGGAATTCACAACAAATTTCGGCTAAAACTGCGCCGGTCAGGTATACTTTGAATCTGTATCTAACCTCTTGATTGGTTTTCAACAGTTTTATATACGGCACGCTCCACTTATCTTCTACATGTAAAATATCTTCGTCGTTTTCTGGAGTAAAATCAATTTTGTTGAATAAACTTGACTTATACAGTTCAAAATAATGCATGTAACATTTCATGGCCAAGGTTACTTGAAGGTTATGAATCTGTCATAACTAGACTGCGGATTTTATGTATTTGTAGTCTATAAGTCTCTGTGTAATATAATAAAAGACAAAACTTTCGTCAGATGCAACGAGTTTTCTATGTTATTCTTAATCCATTAAGATATTTGAGGGAAGAAGTTCATTTCTATTTTTGTTCTTATCTTTATGAATTACTTTATAAAATATTATATTGCATAAAAATCTGCAGTCTAGTCACAACACGCTCTATGATACTGATTATGAGTTAAAGAAACTAGGTTTTATTCAGCACAAAATGTTGACAACCTTGAAAAATTGAAAGCAATAACCTTGAAAGCAGCGAATGTACATGTGTAATGCAGAAGAATAAACGAACCATTTTGCGTATTTCGGTGTTTCAAGTTGATTGATTAATGATTAAAAGGAAGTAGTAATTGCGGAGCCACTGCTATTAGATTGTCGCGTAACAAATGTCATTTTTGAATTGCATAGTTGGTATGATTCTGATTTATCGCGAAACAAAGATTTTTAATAAAACCAAGATCTACCTAAATCAATACATTTTTGTCAACGAGTCACAATACGTTCATGATCCTATGTTTAACAATCTTGACTATAAACCACTCGTTTCAAAAAAGAATTTAAATTCGTCTTCCACTGTCATCATCTAGCGAAGAATTTTGAAAGTTTTAGCGTTTGAGTACCTCCAACTGATAGTAAGCGGCACACTTTTTCCATAACGGTAATGGGACAATAGCGTTCCGTTGGTTATTGTAAGTGTTGTGAATTAGTCGTTTTCGGATTATTCACGTTTGAGACGTGTCGTCTGTAGTTAAGAGTTAAGACGACTGAAACAAAATGCATTGGAAACGATATTTATTATGTCAACAAAATCTGATAGCTATTCCGGTGTTTGATATCGAAGGATATACAGCAGACAACGCGAGAGAGACAATTTGATAATGGGAAATCCTCGAGTGTAACCCTCATATTTGTTCTTTTAAAAGTAAGTTGTGACGAAATTTAAAAAAATATATAAGTAATGTAGAACAAAACGAAATTGGGCACGCCGGGTATTCGAATCCATGTTCAAAAATGTAGCACATCTAACCGCTGCGCTAAGCAGGGTAGTTGCAAGCATTAACACGAATGAACTTTAATTGTTAATACCATGTAAATTATTAGCCATCTACGCCCATAAGGGGGGGGGGGGGTGCGGGAGTATGGACGTGTTCATTTCGACGAGGACTACTAACAGGCAAAATGTGGGCAACCCTTGGACGGCGGTGTCTGGGTATACTTTGAACCAAGATTTTAGGATATTCATGTACCTTTCTAGTTTACAGAGACTACTTGAAGCGTACCATTATATTTACACTTCCGTTCATAAGTATCAGGGCACTTATCGAACATACAGTAAATGTTACAAGGCATCACACAATATTGCCGAAACTCTGAAATAAATATTCTGTAGAGGATACTGAAGCTCCATGGAATTTTTACGAAACATTACATTTTCTTCATATAAATCAGGTGTCTTAATACGTATGGCGGGTAGTGTATATTACCATTTTATAAGAAGACCAGCATACCTGGAAGAAATTTGTTCTAAAACACTTGTAAAGTCAGATGAGTAGGGGTCTACCTGAATCCTGGTACCGCTTATTCGATCATCAGAAATGTACGCCTTCCGAGGGTTAAAAAGTGAGGAGACGGTTACTCTTCGAGGAGTTCCCAATCGCGAGGTGGGATAAACATGTTCATGCATACATAGAACCAGGGACTTAAACCGGTATGATTTTGATACCGGTATTATAATAATCGAAATAAATACCGGTATTTTTTCGATTTCTATAAGGGTAGGGCTTGTATAGGGTTATATAGGGCGAAGGTTTAACCGAATATACCGGTATTTTACGTTTCGGTAGAAGTCCTTGCATAGAACACCGGTGGAAACATAACGAGATCCGATCATTTTTAGGTGTAGTTCCATCGGAGGTGTTGCTGATACTCGCGGGCATGGTTGTTGCGGTGGCAGCGACCTCGAGCTGCCCGTGGGCCCAGCACGTGCCCGATCTCGAGAGCTCGTGCATCTGCGACTATAATCTGGCCAAAGAGCTCTCGGTGCAATGCGACATCGTCGACTACGAGCAGCTACTGACTGCTATGCGCCGTCACGCTTCGAAGGCCGCCGTCGATTTGTTTTACGTGAACAACAGCACGATCGGCACCCTGAGGAACGGCTCGTTCGCGGCGTTCAAGGTGAACAACATGCAGCTGTCCGGCTGCCAGATCAACGGGATCGAGCCGGACGCGTTCAGTGGCCAGGAGAGCACGTTGAAGAGCCTGAACCTGAAGGACAACGAATTGTCGGAGGTACCGAGCAACACCCTTAGGGTGCTGCGTAATCTGACCGTGTTGGATCTATCGATGAATAAAATCACGAGGGTGAACGACAACGCGTTCGCCGGTCTGCGATTGGTCACGTTGAAGCTGAGCGACAACGAGGTCACGCTCGCGCCAGCCGCGTTCCGTGGCTTGGAGAGGTCGCTGAAGAATCTGAACCTGAAGGGCACCAGACAGAAGAAGGTCCCTGAGGCGCTCAGAGGCCTGAGGACCCTAGCCTTTCTCGATCTGTCGCAGAACAGCGTGCGGGAGCTGCCCGGATCCGCGGGCACGAAGGCTTTCGAGGCCCTGGAGTCGCTGACCGGACTGAATCTCGAGAGGAACTTAATACAGAACATCGGACCGGACGCTTTTCACGGGGTCAGAAACACGCTCAGCTCGTTGAGCCTACTGAATAATCTGATACCGGACTTTCCCACCGCCGCGATTAACAGCGTTCAGGATCTTAGGGTAAGTTCAGAGGGCTCGCACGGCGAAACGGTCCTCCAATCGAGACTGCTATTGATCAAGAGCCTGAGGATCGGGCTCATCGCTTAACCCTTAAATGCACAGTGTTGCCATACGACAATATACCTATGGTTCCTAATGTAATAAACACATAAACGCTTCCTGCATTATGTATTGGAATCTATGTACGTATACTACCACAGACGAGATATAAGAATAGACCTAACATGCAATTTAATTTCCAGTACCATTTCAGTATTCCATTCCCTGCTAGCGAAACCGGGGAAATAGTGTATGTATGTATGTAAGGCTATATGCAATCACGGGAGTGTGTGTGCTGTGCGTTATCACGGTGTCTAACGTAGTTCCTGAAACGTGATTTTCGTGAGACACCAAGTCCCATAAGATGTTAGGTCTATTCTTATATCACGTCTGTGATACTACCAAAGTATAAAGAATCGACATAAGTGAAAAGAGGGAGCGTCAGTTTACAAATAGATTCTGACAAGAAAAAAGTGCAACACCAAACGGGACATTAGCCTACAATAAAAGATACAAAAATTTGTAAATTTCCTACCGAGCAATTGGCTTTTCCCCTAAACAGAAATAATAACGGTTTTAAAAATTCTCACGATAATTAGTTTGTGATTTGCTTATATACTGTGTATATGGTGTAGTCATTTTGCAATACGCGTTGTTTTCAAATGAACGAATACAAAAAATGAGACGGATTTTTTAAAATATTTTTCTATCGTTTTATAGTTCAGAAATCAGTAATTTCTAAATGTTTTAATATATTTGGAAAAAACGTGCATTTAAGGGTTAAGGAGTTAGACCATCTCAACCGATTCAAAAAATGGAAGTCTTCAATTAGTACTTTATGATCTTGAATATAAAGTACAGTTTATGTGAGACCTCTTGCACAATAATTCACCGACTAATAATATTAGTGAATATTCACAAGATATAAGTTATGAATTAATATTATTAGCGAGATTTCACAAGTCACAAGCTACAAAATACCAGTACTGATAAAATAAGTAGAATTCTGCACGTAAATTTTGTCAAATTACAGTCAACTGATTCACCTATTCCACGTGTTAATGTTATGTGCACCTTGCTAGAAATTAATTATCGATTAATACAGTTAAATGTGTTTTGTTTGATTAAAAATGTGTAAGCGGGAAGATATTAGCACACGAGCTCATTATTCCGACAATTTAGCAACAAGTGGTAAGAAAAACAAATTGTATTATCAATCATGATTCAAATACCTACAATCAATAAATTATTAACAATTCACTAATCAATAGTCAGACAAATTAACCTATAAAAAGAGTTATCAATCGCTCAAGACTTGTAAAAATTGTTACAACTAAATTTGTATAACTTGTAAAGTTGAATTTATTGTGCAACGAACACTTATAAAATGTACTAACAATATTAGTGATTTAAATATATAGCTTGTAAAATTGTAGAAACTACCCAACAGAAGTGTAAAATTTATAACTTACAACTTGTAAATTTCCTAATTTAACCAAGATTAGGTGGTAAATTATTGCGCAAAAGGAGCCAGACGTAAATTCTCCCTCGAAATCAGTGACCGTCACTTTTCCTACACCCCTGTGGATCCTCCGTTTCTCATTTTAATTCGCTGTTCTATTTAGGTGCTGGACATTGGATTCAACTTGATCACGGAACTGCCGGTAAACGCTTTCCAAAAGAATCCGTCGATAACGCTTCTGGCGATCGACGGGAATCCTCTGTCGACCGTCCCGGAAGAAGCTCTCGCCCGATTAAACGGAACGCTTCGGGGATTGAGTTTGGGTGGTCGTTTTTTGGTCTGCGACTGCAAACTGCGGTGGATCGTCGATTGGATAAAAACCAAGGATCTACAAGTTACAAGCCGCGAACGGAAACCGCAATTTTGCGGAAGTCCACAGAAGCTGCAGGACAAAAGCTTTTACAACATCGATCCGGATGGTAATAACAGCGCCAGTAAATTTTTCGTCCCGCGAAAGTTTTCAGACTGAAACTAACGGTAACAGTAGTTGTTCAAAATACGCTGATACTTTTTGTTATAAATTATTCAGTACAGTTCACTTCCGAAGAAATAAATATGTGACAGTAATTATGGAAATTCTGGAAAGAAATCCATTACCGATTCGAACTAAATGGTTGACTGAGATGCGGTCGATGCATTTAAAACGCTCAAAATTATGTCGGACTATCTATCTTTTATTTTAAATTCGACGAAAAAAAGTAGTTACGGAAAACGAAATCACGCGAATACAGCAGGTAACCAGGTGTACAACACCTTGCATGAGAATAATTGTATTCATTTATGCCACTTTACACTGATTTCACACTATACATATGTAGTATATTCTCATTTCAATAATCGCATTTTGTGCGCCGCTCTTGTTATACGGCGCCATTTCTCTGTTGCTATTCAAAACACTATTCTTGACATTTTAAGACTAATAGAATATCGTAAACTGTGGGAGAACATTGGCAGGTTTTTATTACATTTTGTTATAGAATACAAAAATAAAAAATTTGACATTTGCTTCAAATGTCATATTAGAACATTACATATTATGTGATTTTACTACAAGTATGAAAATCCATAAAACTTTTATCCTTTTACTTCTTTAATACAGGTTAATTCACTGTCAATGTTACACCGTACAGATAAAATTGGCACACCATATACATGAATAGCATTAACAGCTAAGGTTGTACTAACCTGGAATTATATTGACACTTAAATTTGTTTCTTTTTATGTTTAATGCATTCTCTTTTTATTTTTTTGCTTTATTCGGATGATTAATTTTTTTTCAAGTTAATTAATTTATTGATCTAATTCAAGACACAAAATGTTTGAATTATCGATTTAAACTTTTATTTACTTATTTACATCTTAATTAAAGATAACAATCTTAATTAGTTATACCTTAACTACAATCCAATCGTCATCCATACAGTATGCTAATGTTCCCCCAGTTTACGGTATTTCATATTTTCGTTTCTAGCCCTTAATTTTACGATATTTTCGGTGTTTTGAAAAGTCAATATCGGTGAATGATACTACTCAAAAGGTTCCTGAATTCTAGAACGCGTGAAAATCTTAAACAGTTACAATTAAAATTGAACAGAAACCGGTGAACGATTTCAAACTTTTGCAAATAATTGCTGTTTTGATTCCGGTCTAGGAATTTTTTTTCAAGCGCAACCGCGCGGATTGAACTCGACTGTGACGAATGGTAACGGTTTCTCGTTGGTTCGCAGAAATGTCTTGCGACAGAACTCCGGAAATAATCGGTATCGGTACGGTGGAAAGCGTGGACACGAGAGAACCGACTGGTTCTGGGGGAACAGGTTACAGTCCAACCACTCGGCCTTCGATCGCTGTGTCGACGGCACCAAGTACAACGACGACCACAACGACCGCAGAACCGGCGTCCTCCACCACCGAGGAGAAAATCATCGAGGCATCGTCCACGACTACCCCTCGAGCGGTGACCAGTAGGCCAACGGTTGCGCGAACTGGCAACGTGGTGATAATGAGGACCACCCCAGCCCCGCCTAAACACGTCCAAGATCAGTTACAGCAACATCAGCCGCGACCACCTCTGGTCCTGGGATCGCCGCTTTACAAGTCAAAGTCGAGCGAAAAGGACATCATAGTCAAGGACGTGCTGAGACAGGACAACGCCGTGATCATCTATTGGGACACGGAAGCGACCAACATACTGGGTTTCAAGGTGGTTTATCGGCTATTCGGCGACAACAGCTTCAAACAGGCGCCCCCGCTTGAAGCCAGCGAGAGAGAGTTCAAAATAAAGAACGTCCCGTTGCAGGTAATGTATCCTCAAAGACTCGATCCGTATGGTGCAGCTTCTGACGGTTGTCGCCCATTTAACGGGGTGGCCAATGTTTAATTGTTAAATAAGAAATTGATCTTTGAACCCCCCGAAAGAACGGGGAAAACCCCTTAACGTATATATTAGCGTTAATGTGTTTCTAAATAGAGGCAATTTAGTTATTATACATAGATCGGCCATTTGCCATCAAAGGTTTTATTACCACTGCCTTCGAAGGTTTTATGGCAGGGGGGAGGTTCTTAGGATGCGTGCGACCTTGAAAAAGGGTGTATGAGAATAAACAGAGTTAACTCAATTATTTAAAACAGATTATTGAAAGTTGGGTTTGACAAGTAGTTCGACGTTGGCTTGCCTTAAAAATAAGATTGTTTCTGGAGGGTCTGGCGACGTCAATGGTGAAGGCAGTGGTGCCTAGTGGCTAAAAAGGGCTATATAGGATAGCGCTTATTCCAGAATCGCCATTGGAAAAGTGTCGTGTGCCTCTTTTGCTTACTCTTCGTATTTCCATAATGTACTTTCTGATCATAGGAATGCATCGTAGTCTGTGTGGTGTCGTTGGAAGAAACCAATATCACCCCGGCGAACGTTCCGTACAACCAATGTCGAGAAGTAAGGACGGAAAATTCGCCTACGTCCAACATGGACAAAATCACGATCGCCGCAAGTGCGGCTATATGCGCCACGATAGTGGTCGCGGTGATAATATTCATCGTCGCGAATCGGCGAAGGGCCAGGAAACTTCACACGCTGCACAGCATAGATCAGACGAAAATGGGGGGCCCTATCGCGGGTCTGCCTGTCAACTGTTGCTCGAACGTTGGTCCAACGCCCAGTCCTGGTGGGCCGTTGTCCTCGATGGCAACACTAAGCGCCTACAACGCCCAGAAAGAATGGGACCAAGTGTCCGCGTACAGCAATAGGAGCATACCGAGACTAAGAGTGTTTCCTATAGACCGTCAAGGTACACATTTGATAATGTATCGGGTGAGAACGAACGTTCAGTCGCAACTTCTTCAAGTTATTGCACAGAACTGTACCGCAAATGTTTTGCCTGTTATGATTGATTCACAAGCACAGAGCCATTGGTGAATAACGAAGAAACTGGCACAGTTCTTTTCTGTTCGCCCGATACTGAAATCCGACTATAGGAACGCATGAGAAAAGTGTTACGCTTGAATTTTCATGAAATTTCGTAGAAACAGAAAGGACGACAAAAATATTTAACCGTTCCGTACAGGTGGCCAGTCGTTTGTGACATATTTCAGAATAGACTTGTAGATAGTGGTTTACAGGATTATGGCGGCTACTCGTGTAATCCTGGGGCCTGGTATTCGAATCTTGTTAATACAGAATACGTTCTTCTTCGATTTACAAAGTAAACAATGTTCTGTAATTATGTTTCTATAAAGTTTCATTAAACTAGAGTAACATCTCACATGTTGTCCAAGTAAATGCAATCCAGATAGGAATTAAATTGTTCGTTTTCAGGGTCGATAACAAGAGCTTCCTGCATCGACGATGTTCGATCTCAGGCAGGACATTACAGCGGAAAAGTATCGACTCGGTCTGTGGTTGATGGTCAATCGCAACATAGCTTTTCCAATTTGGTTTACGATTCCGTATGAGATACAAAGAGAACTGTTAAAATGTAAACTATCCATATTTTCCTTTCCAGAGCTAAGACAATCCCGACAGTCCCTGGCAGCAGCTTCCGACAGAATGTCACGAACAAACTTCTCCCAGAGTCACGTGCCAACCCACACATCGTCTAGGAGGCAGAGACCGCGATCGTGTAATCGTACCCTGGAACAAAATCCCCCGCGACCTGGTAGCCGCTACAGCATCGCCGACTCGACGCATACTCTGAATAATTACGAAGAAAACAATTGGACCGATCACGATATGGACATATACATGGCGCGCAATCCGACCACGAGGACTGGTCTGATGCCTCTCTAGCGCGACACGCCGCCTGCGTACGGTTTTGCTCAAACGTGTTCAAGTGACATTATCTCAGTCGGTGCACGACTGTTCCCTCTGCTTAGTCTAGGTATAACGTGCGACATGACATTTTCAAAATAAAAAGAAAAAAAACAGAGAGTTCGCGAATAGCGTAGTATATAGCGTTCATTAGCTTAACGATAGTGGATCTACGTTTTCGCGTGTATTACCGTGTAATAAACTCGCGAACGTAGTAACGCGAACGAGGACGTTCTAAACGTATAGCTTTAAGAGAATTGACGCAAAGTAAGCTGCACGTCAGGAACACGTATATACTGTGTGTGCTTGAATCAAACGCCGAGGACTCGATTCGCTCGGGCACACGATCTCTAGAAACAATTTTAGGCGTAAGTGGCAACACGAGCCGGGATCAACGCGTTACGTGTGATGGATGTGTTTTTGTCCAAAGACTGTATCATAAAGAAATCGTCTATCGAGATCCGTATCGTGTCGACGTTTCGTGCTTTTTCTTATACTTGTGCAAGAGAAATGTACTGACATACAAAATATTTCTTAACATGCGATAATATTTTGGTAAGGAGAGACCTCTCTTTTAAAAAGAAAATGTTTTTGTATATTTTTACATAGCAACTATTTTGTAAGTTCAGTATTAGAATAAAAGATTAAAATCGAATGCATAGATCCTAAAAAGTATCGCTGTAACATGCGTTCTTATAAATCTCAATTCAATAAAGAAAAGTTAATAAAGTTTCACGTTTTCCGTATGCATCGTACTTTCTACGACTGCCGGTACTGGAATCGTTTACTTGTGCAATTAATTAATATAACGTGCAATACTTACCCAGGTATGAGAATGCTTCTTTCCCAACGAAATCTGATCTCTTGCACAAACTCGTACCACAATTGTGCTAGGGCAACCACACCTCCAAGATTGTGTGTACAATGTGCAGCGACAACAGAGAGGCGCCATACTAAACTGTCCATGGCGCAAGTTTTGACTCCTTTCCACTGATCCTCGTCCACGTTGCAGGTACTCACGTCGCCATATGGAGTTTTCTAAACGATTAATTAATACCATTATTTCTCAATAGCTTTTCTCATTTTGTTTTTATGCAGTTGTCAGTTCACCCTGGACAGACCGCATAATAATTATTCTCAAGAGGATCTTGAAAGATTCCTCGAAAAGCTACGTGATGTCTTACACAAAGGGATCAAGTCAATAGATTTTAGTATAATTCGAAGAAAGACATTAATGAAAGTAAAAATTATGCTATAATTTATTAGATGTCCCATAAATATTGTACGACCGCTCCAGGGTTAAAAAAAAACTACTTACAGTGTTCTTATCCGCATCAGGAAATAGAAAATATAATATCGACAACAATATCTCCTCTTGTATAGGTCCTTCCACGTTAGTATTCTTTTTCGGAGTCGCTTTGCTAACCACTGCTGAAATAGTAGGTATTCTGGACTCTGTCAGTATATTAAAAACCGAACTCAATGATTGCTCTTCTTGTTGAGAATATATCACAGCGTCTCCAAGCAAATCTACTATAGTTTTCGGGTTGTTACAAACGTGCAAAAAGTCTGTTAAATATTCCCCGAGTAGACAAGCCGGCGAAGATATCATTGTTACTTGCACAGACCATTCAAGTGCCAACTGTGGCTCCAAGTCCGTAAAACCTTCACTGTCGATTACCACGCTCTCCAACATTTCCGGCCATGTAGTAAATAAATGGAGCTCCCTGGAACAAACAATTGGTTGATTTTAAACTGGTAAGTATCTCAATTATATCTCCTCTTAAAAGACAAGAATATTACGCGATAGGATCATATGTAGCTCCAAATGGAAGTTTGCCTAATTCAGCTACGCCTAATGTTTCTCCTTGCATGAAATCAAAGTCTGGAGGTTCTTGCGTCCATGTACTAGTGGTCCAATCTTTCAACAGATAAGAGAACCTCACCGATATCATTACTGGATCTAGCCTTACTCCACAAGATTCTCCTGCCTTCTGTTTAAACAAAGCAAGTAAACCTGGAAATAATTCTTATTTGTAAAACAGCTGCTATAAATATTGTTCTGAAGAATGTAAGTGTTATAATTACTTCTATGCTTCTGTTTTACAAACTATATTCCTACCAGTGAGGTATTTGCAATGAGGCGGTATCTTTTTCAAGTGCACCATGTCAAAATGACTGCAAATTCCTTTCCCAATACTAGTTCCCAGGTACATCTTTTGCCATGATTCTTGCACTTGCACCAGGGTAGGTATATCGCTACAAGTATTTATCAAATGTTATGTAGTTGCTATATTAACATTGAAAAAAGAAAGATTCTAGTTACCAATTGGCATTAGCTGCTGCAATTGTTAAAGAGCTGAGTAGTATTTTAATTTTAGTTTCATCTGTCACAGATTCTCTTTTAGTAGACTGTAAGACAAGGAACTCTCTGATGCCATAGTAGCAAGCTATCTCTAAATGATTTTCATCCATTCTGGCAAAATCATTTGACGTATTTATCACATCTCTATGACACTGTACTTTCTCTTCCTCATTTTCATCCAAAGGACTGTCTATGTCCCCATTTTCCAATTTCAACTTAAAATGCTTCAACGTGAATTCTGAATCTAAAATGAAGAAAATAATTCTATTTGGACCAACTCTTCTAATCCATGTACCAAAAAGAACATATGGCATATTTTGAATGCATGATATTTTGATTCTAGCAGAACAAAGAGTGCATACAAACCAGCAAAATGAAGTTTCTCGGAATTTTCATTCCACTGACAGTTGACAAAATCTCCTGACTTTAAACAACGACCAATTTTCGTGCTGGTTAGTTTCCATTCGTGCATAATTTCTTCGAGACGTGCTATGAACACCTCCCATTCCGAAGCCGTAGTGAAATCGTGGTGATAAAAGTCTTCGATTTCAACGTTATTCATTCTTACAGGCCTTGAAACAAGTTAAAAGGCTATGTTTACAGGCAAACCGTATGGCTAACTGTGACTAACTGCAGCTGTTAAACATCGTTAATACTTATTCGTTATCGTTTGAGTTAAACAAACTTCCATGAAAATTCGTAGAGTGCGCGACAATGCAGTTTCAAATAACAGACAATTGTTTCGGCACCCTACCAGATGGTATAGCTATGCCTTGGAGGTGCATAACATTCACTACATTCATTAATATCAGTACCGATCAAATATCTAAGGTAAAACACCATAAATAAATTTGAATAAAACAATTAAGTAAATATTTTCTCTAAACATCAATAGATACATGGTATTTGTGTAATAATATGTAATGTAATAACATTTTATTAATAATTTTATTACTAAAATGTATAAATTAATTTATACAACGTAAAAATTGATTACAATATTCAGATATATTATAAATTACTCTGTATCTAAGTTTCTATTAATCATAATTAAAATTAAAAAATTATTGTTGTGGATAATGCCTTTAGCTATAAGCTGTTATGGGCTTTTGAATTTAATTTCCATCGCCTATAGCGCTATGTTGTAAAACCACAGACGAGAACGATAGAGCGAGCCGCGGTATCGGTGCACTCCGTCGATGTCGACGCGTACCGAACGATGCCGAAGATGGTCGGAGCGGGCGAACGGGAGAGAGCGAGAGCGGTAGAGCAAGCCGCGGTATCGGTGCTCTCCGTCGGTCTAACGCGCTAGTGATGTGCGTCACACAGTTTATTGACCTAGCCGTGTACGCCGTGTACCATTTTTTTTTTTTTTTTTTTTTTGTGAGGGAATGCGTTTACGCACACCCCCGCCCTCCCCCAATGTGGGAGGAGTGGGCGGGGGTAGTGTGGGACTCACCCCCAATAGGGCGAAGCCCAGGGGGAATACCCACTAAAACCTCACGGTGGCCGGGCTCGGCGCTCTGCGGGGAGGCACCGGGATCTCTTGCGAACACAACCTGTACCTCCCCAGCGCCGGCTCCGCCAGTTGACGGCGGAGCGCCATCTCTGTGGTGGGGGAGCAGAGAGCTCCCCCTCCTCCGGACCGCGGGTACCATAGTCCCGCGATCCCAACGGTCCCTTTTAGTCGCCTCTTACGACAGGCAGGGATTACCGTGGGTGTATTCTGTTCCCCGCCACACAGGGAAGTGTACGCCGTGTACCATGGTCGTACCTAGTCGTACCATCCGGTGTTTGGGTCGTTCAAGGAGGAAGGTCGTTCAAGCCGGCAAAACCAATTGAACTCAAGTAAACGTAACAAAGAAACTAGCTGTTGCGTAATAACCTACGTACGCCCAATACAGAACGGCGTTAGCTTCCTCACTTTATCGTGAGCCGTCGCGGAGGGTGGACGCGTGTCTCATACTCGTTCTTCCTCTTGTTACTAACCTATTGTGTGTTGCAGGCATTCGACAACCACCGTATAAAGGAACCTGTTATTTACTGTGCATATTATTAATTTATTTACTGCTCATATTATTAATCTATTTACTGTGCATATTATTAATCTATTAACTGTGCATATTATTAATCTATTTAATGTGCATATTGTTGTGTTCCCTCTCTTGTTACTAATCTCTTGTATGTTACAGATGTTCGATATTTATCTTCTTATGTACATATTATGTATTCTATGTGTATTGTACAATGAAAAATATTTTTCCAAACAGTTGTTCCATCGAAAGAAAACATCGATCAACGTCTACATCCTCAATGCGTCTACCACTGCGTTAAGTTACTGTAAGTTAAACTTAAATCATAATTCGATATTCATTGTTATATTCATATACATCATCACATCGTACTGATAATCATTATTATTAATTTTAGTCTATCTATTAATAGACTTAAATTGTGATCAGCCATTGTGCATACCAAGTTATTATTAATTCATTTTGCTCGTTGATTTCTCTACACAGACTTGGGGTATGGGCAGTGGGTCTGTACCTATTATGGTACGGGCAGTGGGCCTGTGCACTAAGACTGTTTGCCGATCCCTCTGGTTTCTATTGAGAAGCCAGATATCGGACGTGTTTAGTCTTTGCCTGGTAAGTAGGATTTGGAGTAAAGGCTCGTGCGCGCCTGGGTACAACGTACCCGCCTACGGAGTAGACGGGAGTCTGCTCCGTAAAAGGACTCTGTTTTACAGGGGATCTCGCTTGCACTACCATACTTGGTCATGACCTGTGCTCGGGTCTGGTACGTAGGTGACCAGCCCAAAGGGCCTGGAAAGTGAGAGATGGATTCGGGTTTGCGAGGTTGCGCCCGTCTTTCCTATTTTCTTAAACCAGGTTCTGGCAACACTTTGATCGCGATACTTGTTCATACTGTAGTTTAACGTGGTTCATCGTAGACTTAATAACTGCTTGGTATATAGAATATTAGGTGTGTAAACGAAATGATCGATGGAACTTTTTTCATTCCGTCTATCTCTTTCGTTTGAGTATTAGTGGACTACGTTGCGTTTAGTTTAAGTTATTTTGTATTAATAGCATTAATTCGTATTAATTACAATATTAAGATAATATTAGTTCTAAGCTGAAGAACGAAGACAACCGACGAGGGAACTTAGTTTTTATAGGTTTAGACTCAAGAAAGAAGTCATCCGCCGAGGGATTTTAGTACCGATAGTGTTACATAGC